TTTGAGTTGCTTTTGCATAGTCATCAGTAAGTTTGCTTAGCACCATTTATTAAAGAGATTGTCCTTCCTCCACTATATGTTCTTGGCACCCTTGTTGAATTCAATTGACCATAAACTTGTGGATTTATTTCTAGGCTCTCTGTTCTGTCTCATTGGTATATGTGTCTAGATTTATGTTGGCACCACACTGGCTTATTTACTATAGTTTATACTGGATTTTGAAGTTGCTGAAACCTCTAAAATATTGACAAAAATTTGAAGATGACATAGATAAATGGAAAGATAGCAAGTACTCATAGACTAGAAAAATAATAACTTTAAAATGCCCATGCTGCCCAAAGGAAATTCAATGCAATATATATCAAATTTTCAAAGATAATTTTCTCAGAAATAGAAAAAAATCCTAAAATTTGTATCGGAACTATAAAATATCATTAATAACCCAAGTAATAGTGAGCAAAATAGAATAAATTTAAAGTTGTCACACTACCTGGTTTTAAAGTCTAGTAATTATTTGAATGCAACAGGAACTTGATGTATATTTCTTAGTGTATATCCTATGATGAATACTCTTGTAAAGCAACAAATTAAATTGTTAGCATCAACACTAACCTTTAATTTCTATGTTTTATAAAAATTACTACCGATTGATTTAGCTTAGAATAGTGTTTACTTAAAGTAAATCTTTTTTAAAAGTAAATTTTAATCCACTTAAAGTAGAATTCAATTTTAAGCTCTTAGGACATTACGTCTTTTGAGTAAATGATTAATAAATGTATATGGCTATTTCCATGAATTTATAACAGTAATCATAAAACCATCTATCATTTTTAAAAGCCGATTTGGGGCAGATGTTTGTTTGTTCCTTGGCACAACCATGCCTGGATGTGAATTCATTTTATGATTCACAGACTCCCTGAGGGCCCATGCTGATATGATTGAAAACGGGCCAATTGATGTTTTAATCCTTTCTGTCCTTCAGGAAGAAATGGAATTAAAACCTAAGTTTCTGTTGTTCAGAATTTGTTGCACTGAGCTAAGATTATAGATAGAATGTAACATTAGATCCTTGTTAAATGGATTTATAATCTCAATTAGATATACAGGATAGTGACCTCGACAAATAGAATGTAAAAGTCACAACTTGTGAAAAACTCAGCAAGAAACTGGAAAAGTTAAAAAAAATGGCAAAAAAAAAAATTCTCTGTGACTGGTGTTTGCTAGAAATAACTAAGGCGTGGAAGTGAAAGGTCAGCTTGTGCTTCTAGAACTGTCTCCAGTATGACACCTTGTTTTGCTCTGCACTAGTTTCTCTATCTTCAAGATGATTCGTGCTTTACAGAGAAAAGTGTCCTAGTTTGGCTTCAGTATTGCTGTGATAAGCATCATGACCAGAAGCAAGTTGGAGAAAAGGTTTATTTAGTTTACAGCTCACAGTCCAACAGCAAGGAAAGTCAAGGTAGGAACTCGGGGCAGGAATATGGAGGAAGAAGATGAAGCAGAGGCCATGGAGGAACACTGCTTACCGGCCTGCTCCTCTAGCCTGTGCTTGCCTGCTTTCTTATACAACCCCAGGACCACCTGCCCAGGAGTGGCAGCGCCCACAGTGGTCTGGGCCCTCCCAAATCACTCACCATCCAAGAAAATTTCTCACAAACATGCCTACAGGCCAATAAGATAAAGGAAATTCCGTAGCTGAGGTTTCCTCTTCCCAAGTGTGTCAAGTTGATGACTGACGTTATCTAGCACATGAAGGGATATATGAAATGAAAAAATCAAAAGCACTTCACATTCACAGAATAAAGTTTAAAAAGTGAAATAATATGGATATGAATTGCATCTAACCATTATCTTACAAAATAAATAAATGAGATAAAATACCTTACTTTAGGAGGATTCATTTTAAAAAATGATTTGAAGAAAATAACAACCAGTATGTTTTAACCAAATCACATTTAATTAATTTCTGACATATAAAGCAACTCTTTAGAATAAGTTAGATGAGTATAGTTTAGCCATATCTGATTCTTTACTCTTTCCTGAATACACCGTAGTTAAGTAGGGTGATGTGATGAATCCTAATCATAAGTGTAATGTCACTCTGGATCAAAGAACTGGATAACACTGTGAGCTTTCCACTGTTTCTGTTCCCCCTGGCAGTTCTACAAGCTTGATGTTGGCAGGGTGAATCCACAAAATGGAGATGCTGATGTTCCCTGCTTGGAAGAGGACTGCCCTACAATGACATTAGATTTCAAAGAACTTGGAGAAGTATAGCAAGAACATGTCACTGCTGCACAGCCTGGTGGCTCTCCCAGAAGAGCCTATTTACACCCACATAATGAATTGATAAATTATTTGTGTTTTTATATTTTATTTATTATTTTTATTTTATGTGTATGAGTGTATTGCCTGCATGTATATGAGTGCACCCATGCCACGTAATGCCACGGAGGTCAGAAGAGGGCTTCGGAGTCCCCTGGAACTGGAGTTAAGGATGGTTCGTGGCTGCCATGTGGGTGCTGGGAATTGAACCCCGGTCCTCTGCAAGAGCAGTCATAAAACACTGGATTAAAGACACTAAAAGCTAATGTTGATTACAACGTAGAAGTTAGCAAGCAGATAATTTCACCAATTTTTTTTCAGTTCTAGGCATGAAATGCATGGATCACGCATACTATGTAAGCACACTATCACTGAGTTCAGGGTCATGCATTCTATGCAAGCACTATACCACTGAGGTGTACCCTCAGTTCTAAAAAATCAGAATACATAAAATCAGTGAAAAAATGTCTAGATTGAAATAAATCATTGCATACAACTGTATTGATTTGATGACAAATAAGTCATTTTAAGGGAAGTGCTGATGATTAAAAAAAAAAAAGTGAGGAACTTCCCAGAATGGGTGAAAGAAATGTATACAATATGGCTATATTACATAAGAAATAACTGGCATGTCATATTTTAAAAGGTGCAGTGTGAAGTCATTCTTCCAACTTTAATGACAGAACATGCCTACCAAATCAGTGTGTCCAGTATAAAGAATAAATGGACCAATGTCCAAAAGGAACAGATAAAAAGATCAACAGGCTGCTTTCTTCCTCCCAACTCTAACAGACCTTGATATCAAAATTATCAGCCATCTGAAGAATCCCTTCCTGGTCTACCTGGTGTGTGTGGGTATGTGTGTGTGTGTGTATACACTAATCCATGCTTGTGTGTATGAAGGCCAGAGTTGGGAGGTGAATGTCTTCCTCAATCACGTGTCACCTTATTTTTATATTTATCTGTTATTTTTATTTTATGTATATGAGTGCATTGCCTGCATGTATGTAAGTGCAGCCATGTTGGGCAGTGCCCACTGTCAGAAGATGGCATCAGATCCCCTGGAACTAGAGTAATGGATGGTTGTTAGGTGCCATGTGGGTACAGGGAACCAAACCAAGGTCCTCTGCAACAGCAGCCAGGGCTTTTCATTGGGGAGCCATCTCTCCAGCCCCTTGACCTTATTTTTTTTAGACAAGCTCTCTCATTGAACTTGGAACCCACCAATCTGACTACATTAGCTCACCAGTGAGCCACTGAGACCCTCCTCTCTCTGTCTCCTAAGTGCTAGAATTGCAAATATGCAGTGCCATGGCTGGGTTTTCACCAGTGATAGGGATCCAAAGTCAGGTCCCACTTTACTCACTGAGCCATCTGTCCAGCCCCAAATCTTGTCTCCTATCCGTTAATACCAATCTCCCTTAATTTATTGGCCCTCTTTCTTTAACTGAACTTGGTGACCCTCTTACCTCTGATGTTGCTGACCTCTGTCAGCAGCTTTGCTCATTAACTTTGAAGGTCCTCAGTGACCAGCTTATTGATGATCTGGTTACTCATCCATGACCTCAGGCACAGTAAGTCACCAACTCTTGCTCATTGCTGTATACCAATCCCAGCAGAGACCGCACCAATGTGGTTCTGCTCTAAATAAACATTATTTGATTATGAATGGAGATCTGGCTTAAAGGATAAAATATTTGAATAAGGCCTAGCAAAATCAGAGCACATAGCTCATTGCACTCAGATTGCTGAGGAGTTGGTCACCTTTCTCTCTACTAATCACCTTCTATCCATGGAAGGATCTCTCGTCTGCTACCATTTCAAAAGATGCTCAGAAAATATTTGATGAAAAGATGGATAAATGAATAAAAGATTTTATAAGCACTACATATAAAGTATAAGAAGGATCACACTGATCTAAGAGTGAATTTGATGATGCGCCTTAAATTATGAAATGTGATAAAGCCTTATTATTATACTTATTTTGAGGGAAAAGAGCAAGAAGCAACCCAGCACATTTATTTGCCATCACTTTTAGGATATCTGTGGTTCAAAAACAGCTTTGAAAATAGTCATTTCAAAAAGATAACATTTGACTTCTGCTGTGAAAGGAGAAAAATATTCCGTTTATTTACATTTTTAATTCTTTTACATTTCTATGTGTTTGAATGCATGTGTATGCTGCATGTATACAATATACAGGCAGAGCCCAGAAGAGGGCATCAGAGTTACAGGTAAGTAGCCTGATGCAGGGGCTGGGATCTGAACTCAGGTCCTCTGAAAGAGTACCAAGTGCTCGTAATCACTGAGTCATCCCTCCAGCCCAACAGTAAAATAGTCTAAAGACACCTGCATATAGGGTAGTTAATAAAAATAGCATTTAGGTCTAAATCTTTCCATTCTGGTTCTTATTTGGATATACTACTGTACACTCAAGTCAAATGTTTATGGGTCTTTTTGTTTGTTGTTTCTTTTAAAACAGGATTGCCATAAATCATCCCAATGTCCTGCATGAAAACTATACATTTACTCTAGAATCCTAAATGAGAATGTTCACAGAGGGGGTTGAGGCAGGGCAGCATGGGCTGGTGGCTCAGTGCTTGCTGTTGAGCAGAAGGAAACATTGTGCACCAACACTTCTCTTCCCACCAGCTGTTACTGTGTTTCTGCTTCAGATTGACAGGCTGGACGTGGAGAGCTTGTTTAGCAACATTGAGTCTGTGCATCAGATATCAGCCAAGCTGCTGTCCTTGTTGGAAGAGGCCACAATCGACGTGGAACCGGCCGTGCAAGTAATCGGTATGTTTATTTTCTTCTCAAATTCTACAGATACAACGGGAAATAATATTTTAATAACCCCCTGGTACTTTGGTTTTATGTTTCTGGCTCACAAAGCTTCTCAGGAGCTATATAAATGTTAAATCCATCTTCAGGCTCATTGTAATTACACAAACCCTATATTTATCTTCCAATGGGTTTGTATCCATTTGTGACGGTCCCTTAGTTGCACTAGCACATGTTTGCTTTTCAATTTCCAATCTTTGAGTCTCTCTGCTTTCCAGATGTTCTTTCATTTTGTTTTATGGGTAGTGCTTCCTTGATCCTTAAAGAATTAAATATTTTCATGGCTATACCGATTTCAGACAGTGTTTTTTCTGATCTTGTACCTATGAATTGCTTTCCACTTTACTCTTAAATAGTCTTACATATATTTTTATTTTTACTCTGACAAGGTTTTTAAAATGATTATAGTGAATATCATATCAAGAGTATTTAGTCAAATTTGTATTCTCTCCATTTCTTAAGCATGACAAAGAATTCTTTGAAGGTGGTGGATCTGAGGCATCATATACGAGTGTTATTTAGTCTAAGAAGTCTATTAAAGGAAGATCACTTTGAAATTTCACATATTATATATATATATATCTGAAATACTAGATGAGTTAAGGATCACATAGGGGATGCTGGCTGTCCTGTCATATTCTCCTCCAAAGCCATTGTCCTTTTTGCAAGTGACCATGGCCAGCATTTGCTGTAGAGCCTCTCTGAGAGACTCTGCGTGGACACTGACACACTTTATGTCTTTATTGAATCTTCTTTTTAGTGGAAATTAGACTTACAGAAATGACATGGAATTGGTTTTGTTTAGTATTTATTCAGGCCCAAAATTTGGTCAGCAGGCTGATCTTATGGAAAGGTGACTACAGTGATTCAGCAGCTTTAAATTGTCTTTCTTTGTAGTTAAACATCCCCAATAAATTTCAATAGTGTTTTCTTTCTATGGAAAGACTTACACATGCTTCCACTCTAGCAGAGATCCCTTAGCCATTCATTTGTTCATTCAGTGAATAGCTAACAAAGCAGCAGCAGAAGAAAATGCTGGGTGGCATGACTGGGCAGTGCGAGAGGAAAAAAAGTCATCTCTGACCTTCAAGAACTTGCAGTAAAACAGCTCCTTGAAGCAAAGGCAAGTGTCTGATATGCCAATAGAGTACTTTCTACACCCCTAAGAACTATTCATGGGAACATTTTGGATAGAGAACCAAGGAAAGATTGCAAGATCTTACTTAGGTTTAAAGGTATAAGTAAGATTTCCAGGTTGGACAAAAGATGCTCTTTGCATTTAGCATAAACAGAAAGTATCAGTGTGTTTAGGAGATGGAGCATCATTAAGCCAGAAAGAAGGCACATGTAAAGGAAGAGTGGGGAACAGATCTGGAGCTGCAGCCTGGGGACAGGCTATACCAAAAACTGCTTTGGAATTTGCATGTAATGAGCCATTAAAAAGGCTTTTCAGCAGAGTGTGGTAAGACAAACAAGTTTCTGGAGAAAGAAGCACATGGTATAAATGAACAAAATGGATAGAAGTTGAGCCCCAAACCAGTCATAGATGGTTATACATAATTCAGGCATGTTGACAGTAAGCAGGTAGGCCACGGCAGGTACACTGAGAATACAAAACTGTCCATACAAAAAACAAATGCAGAAGAAGACTCAAGTGAGATTTAAGGATTTGTTCATGTGCTAGAGTCACAGACCATGCTGAGTTTAGGGTTACCATATATACTGTTGCTTAGAACACATTGGTTCAGGCTTACTTAAGCATTCACTTCAGTTTAGCAGGAGCTTAGATTTTTCCTTTTTAAACAAACACCATTTGTTTTGTTTTGTGTATATGTGTGTGCTTGTGTGCAAGTGTTCATGTGTGCGTGTGCATGTCTTTGTGTGTGTATGTGTGTGTGCGTGTGTATGTGCCAGAGGTTAACTTTAGTTGTTCCTCAGGTACCATCCACCTTATTTTTTTCAACATATGTTTTTATTGATGTTTTGTGCATTTCATACAATAAATATATCTTAATCATATTTAAATCCCCCTCCCCTATTCATCCCCCATAGCCCACCCAGCAGATTTCATGCATTCTGTCATAGATGTTAAGGCCTAAGTTTGTGCCCCCAGATGTCCCTTGGTGTGAGTTCATCCACTGGAGTCTCGTCAGCCTTTCTAGCATCACTGTCTTAAAGAAGACCAACTCTTTCTCATCCAGCAGTAATCAACTGCCAGTAGTTCCTTGGTTCAGGTTTGGGCTTCTTGCCCATCTCCCCAGTTCTATACTGGGTTTTTGTCAGCTTGAGTTTGCATGGGTCTTGTGCATGCTGTCACCATTGCTGTAACTTCATATGAGCAAGTTCCCAGAAGCCTGGAAAACTGTTTCCTTGTGGTCATCCACCCCCCATTGCTCTTACTCATCCCCATCTTCCACAATGAACCCTGAGCCCATATAGGCGTCCTGTCCAGGGACACAGACTCTGTAGTTTTTTATTCTGTACATTTTGGCCAGTTGGGGCTTATTGTGTTAATTGCCCTCTGTTGCATAAGGAAACTTTGTTGGTGAGAGTTGAGAGATGTATTAGTATTCTCTCTACCCCCTGTTCCACTGAGTTCTGTAAGCCTTGGGTGTAAATTTTCCATTGTAGATGTGTTCAAAAGCCTACTGAAAAATACTAATATAATATCTGTACATGAGTGCATGTTTGTAGCTGAAGGCTACATAACAAAAACCACAGTGCCAGACAGGAGAAACCTCCCTTTGAGTTGTTGGTCAATGTAGTCCAAGACACTCCCAAAATAACACAGGCTATTGCCACAGTCCTTGATTTCCTCCAAGACCTTATTAAAAAGGATGTACTTCAGACAGAGGACTTGGGGCAGTGGAGCTGGAACTGACCTGGAAGCCTCCTCCCTGAAGAGCAGTTCTCACAGTTTTAGAGGATACTATACAAGCTGCTAAGGGAGAAAATCAATCAATGGTCCAACCCCAGCTTTAAAGTCTAATAAGTACAACAATGATCAACACAGTGAACTATCTCTATCGGTGTAGTAGTGGCACTTTTATCTAGGATGTTATCAACAGCTATCTAATTGGACTTAAAGCCCGCTCAATGGGAGGGATCGCATGTGTGGTACTATAAACATAGCCAAATATACATGACTAGAGAGGTCACAGATCCTAGAGTTTTCTCTATGCCTGTCATATCCTTAGACAAACATAATTTCTTACTACATGTTAAATATGTATCCTTATATTTATAGGCAAGTATACCAGTCACCACACATCACAGTAACTTCTTTCTGCAACAGATGGGAACTATTACAGAGTTCCACAACTTGTCAAACACAGAGAGTAAGTGTCTGTGAGATGCCCAGCCTTAAGTGACACTTGTTTTTTGATACAGGATCTCTCATTGGCCTGAAGTTCAACTATTAGGCTATTCTGGCTGGCCACTGAGCCCCAGAGAGTCTCCTGTCTCCACCTCCCCAGCTCCTCCAGTCTTAAGAAAACTTCCTTTGGAGTGCCACATGAAGACCACTGTCTGTTAAAACAATAGCACATGGACTTGAAGAGCTAGAAACAGCCCCTCGCTGTTCTGGTAGCTCTGGGAAGTGTGTCTGATGCTGTGAACCTTCCCCTCATCACTGGGCATAGCAGCTAGTTGTGCCAGGGCCCATGTTGATTGGCACACACTAGGAGCTATGAGAAGTATGAGGCTACCAGGATACCAGTCTGTGGAGTTAGTGAGACATGTAGGGATTCATAGATCAGACATAAGTGATCTGTGTGTGTTAAGTAGAGGCTGGGCAGCTTGGCCACAGAGCACCTGAATGTTGTCACAACAGCAGTCTGGCATTTATCATATAATATGTATCTACTACTCTTGTTATTATGTGGCTATGCATTTTTATTTTGCAATAAACCCCTTCAGAAATAAAGGCTTAATGTGGTCATATAACTTAAATATTGATTTTTTTATTTCTCAAGAAAGTTGATGGTGAACATATGACAGAGTACTTGCCACACACACACCACAGGGCCCTTAATGTTCCCATCACTGACCATAAAACCAATCAAGAGACAGAAATCTGCTGAGGAAGCAGCAACATCAATGTAAAAAAAAAATAGTTATGTTTTTAAAAGATTGCTCAAAGCAGGTGATTGGACACACAGCTGCTTAAAGTGTGTTTGCATACCACTCCGGATAAGATTTTACTTCCTCCAATAACAGTAGTTCTCAATTAGTTTCACTCAACCTTATTTCTAAGGTTCCATAAATCTATAAGACATGTAAAAACAATGACTACTTATGAGCTGACACCATTAGTAGGAGTTCTGCAAACAGTTAAAATGATATTTAAAATACAGCTCTAAAAACAAGCTTTGGGACATTTTTATAAATGTTTCTATCACTGTGACTTCAAAATTCAATACTGTAGGGGCTGGAAAGATGGCTCTGTGGTTAAGAGCACACCCGCTCTTGTAGAGAACCTGAGTTCTATTCCAAGGGTGGTTCACAGCTGCCTGTAACTTCAGTTCCAGGAGATCCAATGCCATCTTCTGACTTCTGCAGGTACCCAGACACATATACATTATTTAAAATTTAAAAAAAAAAACTTTAAACATTCAGTATTGTGACATCAAATGATAATATGAATACATAGATTGTAAAAGTACAATACTGCAGTAAAATAATGTTTTTACTAAAATAAAAATCTATGGAGTAGAAATTAACTGTGATATTTAGATAATGAAGCTGGTATTTAATGACATAAAAATTAAGAAGAATTTGGGGCTGGAAAGATGGCTCAGTGGTTAAGAGCACTGGCTGCTCTTGCAGAGAACCTGGATTTGATTCCCAACACCCACATGACAGCTTACAACCATCTGTAACTCCAGTTCTAGGTGATCCAACACCCTTTTCTGAACTCTGTGGGCACTGCACAACATGGGCACACTTACAAATAT